GTGGGATTTAGCCACAGGCCAGATGGGGATTGTCAGTGAACACCGTGAGCCTGATCCAAGTGAAGTTTGCAAATGCCAGGCCTGCATTGCCGGGTCCAGGGATTTTTTTTTTAACAGAAGCTGGAAACTTGCAATAGAAATGTGAGGTTGCCTGATTTTTGAATGTTTGCAATTTGTAAGGTGCAACTTGCAGCTTGGCGAGGACTAGACAGAAACAATTTGGGTCCCGGGCTTCCCGGTTATGAACCGGAAACAATTACAATAGGAAGCATTGAATGCCAAGATAGAAATTAGATACCAGGGTTTTGTGGGTTACAGGGTAGAAGGGCTCTGTCCAGCCTGGGTGTGGGGAGGAACTCATGCCCTGCCCCAAGTGTGCAGTGCTCACCTAGGTTTCCCCGCTGAGCAGCGGCAGCAGAAGGATCTGGTGTTGAGCAGGCATCCTTCCTGAAGGTGGGATGGTGTTGGAAGTGGGAAAAGAGGAGCAGAGGGTACCATCTTTTAGATGTAGGTGAGAAGCCAGCAGGTAGAACAAATAGATTCCTTTGATAATTGAGGAAAATAGGAAAGTGAAGAATGAAAGCAGCTGTGGATAGGACAGGAAATGCCAACGTGTCTCAAAGTGTAAACGGTTGAATGAAATGGACCTCAAGCCAAAAATGAAAGATCTGGGGGTGGCCAGGTGGGTCAGTCAGTTAAGTATCTGACTCTGGTCTTTGGCTCCATGAGTTCGAGCCCCACATCTGTCAGTGCGGAGCCTGCTTGGGATCCTCTCTGTCTCTCTCTCGAATAAGCTTAAGAAAAAAAAAGAAAGACCTGCTTTCTTATGAAGCTGAGCCCTCTTGGGGGATGACCCCCACTTTCCTGGGTGTCAGCATTCCCCGCTTACACATGGACAGCAGTGCCCACCTGGCGAGGGTGCCCGAGGGCAGAGATGATGTCACCTCCAGCATTTTCCCATCGCTAGCCAAAGGGGGCTTCTTCCGGGCAAGTTCACAGCCCCCTTTCCCAGAGCAGGTGCTACAGAACACTTCCCTCCTGCCGAAAAGGATTCCAGATCAAATCTGTTTGGGAAGTAAGGGGCTCAAAAGGCCTGCGCTATAGAAAACTTGCCTAACATTTTTTTTTGCAAATTGGCTTTTTCCCCCATTTGACTCCATAAATCCCTTCCTTCTGATTTCCTCATAATGCTCACAGAGCTCCCCTCCAACCAGAGTTCTATGGACTCTGCATGGGAATTCTGCTTTATGAGTAAATGACATTAACGTTGCAGTGAGGTTCTTTTCCTAAACTTTGGGAATTAGGCCAGCTACATTTTTCATCTGGGCCAGGTATGACTGCTAAATCCCTTCCACTTTGTTTCTCTTGCAGGTGGAAGAGGCACTAAGTGAAGTCGATTTTCAGCTCAAGGTGGATCTCCACTTTACAGACAGTGAACAGCAGTGAGTGTCCCTGAAGTCTCCAAATCCTGGTTTCCTTCCTCCAACCCTTCCTCGTCCCTGGGGCACCTCCTGGCCTTGAACCTCAGAACATTTCCCAGATGCCTGGCTCCCAGCAGTGGGGCTGGGAGCGTCTGCACGGTCACTGTAGACCGCGTGCCTTTCAGGCAGATAGCTCAAGTGCTGGGTGCACAGACAACTCCTGACTGCTTGCCTTTAGTATCTGGCACCTTCTCATACCTGACACCTCCATTCGTTTCCGGTGCGGTATTAATTAGGTCTTCAGATTGATGACCCTATGAGGCTGCAATCCTCAAGGCTCCTTCTGAATCAGAGGAGAGCCTGCCTGGATCCCACGTCTTTGTCCCAAATATCTGCTTCTGTGCTTCAACTCTCTGAAAATTGAAAACCCGTTGACTTGTGACGTGCCGATTCAACAGGCAGGAGACAACGCTCCTCCTTCCTATAACTGCTTCCTCTCAGCCTGATCCATGGCATCCCACTCCTGCTACTCTGGGCAGGCTGTCAGCTGTAGATTCTGTCAGGTCATAAATAAATGGTCCCTGTTTCAGGTATCAGGAAGGCCACTCGAGGGTATTACCAAAACTCTAACCTCTCATCCAGTTTATGACCTCTTCACTGCCCCCCTCCCCTGCCTGCTTCTGCCACCCCCCCAGCTTCAGGCTTGTTGAGGTCAGGAAACTCCCAGGGCAGGAGCAGGGCGGTGGGAGGCCTCCTCTTTGTTCCTGCCTCCTTCCCTGCAGGGGTGTGTGGGTCTCACAAGGTCACGCTCCGTCAGGAGTTAAGGGATTACAGAGGAGCAGAGGTCATATAGGACAGGTTCAATTGCAGGCAAGGCTCAGTAGAGTTTGAATCACTGCACCCTTTGCTCTTGGGGTATCCCTATGCATTCTTTGGGGATATACCCACTAATTAGGCAAGCTTGCTCACTCCCCCACTGTAGTTCTTTGATGTAGATGCCTCCTGTGCCTGGGCCATTCACTCCTTGCTGGAAGCTCTTTTGGCATATTCTTGAAAAAACCCATATCTGGTCCTTGGGAAATGAACAAAGGCACTTTAATCCCTCAGGGGTGGGGAACCCTCTCCCCCTGTAATCCTGCTCACTCTTCCTTTGGCCAATCCAGCTACCCTCAGCCTCTCCCCTGAGGACATATGCAAGATGATTCAGGTACCAGGACCTATGTTCCCCCAATTGTAGGGGACAAAGGGCAAACACACTTGAAGATCCCTCTCACTAGGCTTACAGTTATGGGGCAGACACTCCTTTTTCCTCTGTTCTGTTAGCAGAATCGCAGAGAATTATCCTGACCACTCTTCACAAGCTAATCTGCACTTCTGGTCTCTACAACCTTTTCAGCAGAAGCATCACATCCTCCTATGGAAAATAGAAAACCAGGTGGCCAATGGTCTAATGCTGTCAGAACGACCTCCCAATCCCTTCAGAGTTCAGACGCCCTTTTGGAACTTTCTCCCCCTTCTCAAGGACCATCCCATCCCTGAGATGTGTCTGGTTATTACAGAGTTTCCATAATGTGAGGAGTTGAGTCACATGGGGTCCTCTGAGATGTCAGTGACCTGATGTGTCTGCGCATTGAGAATGGACATCTGCTGATGTGCGGATGGTGGTGTCTAGTGTTTGGGTTGTCAGAGGCATCTGTCCATGGTCCTGCCATGGTGTCTGGGCTCAATATCACAGATTCCTCATTCTTGTCTGGCCCCCAAGGCCCTCAGGCCACTTGCTTCCCTCATCACTGCTTTCTTACCTCTTTGTGAGATGGTGGATGCTTGGGAAATCTTATTTTCCTCAGGATTTGTTCTTCCAGCACCATATTGAACTTAGAGCCCCTGCAAGAAGCTGGCTTTCTTCCTAACCTATAAACTCAGAAGTTAAGCCTCTGCCTCTGTTCCCATATGCCCCCTCAACCATCTGTGATTCCGATCATCCGCCCGTTTCTTTAACCCACCCTGCCTTATCTTCCTGTACCTGCTTCCTCAAAGACATTCATCCATTACTCCATGGTAGACATTTCCAAGCAGTCAGAGAACCCTGCAAATGATTCCATATTTGGCCTAGAAGTCATTCTCCATCCCGCCTGCCTGGCAGTCTGAATGATAAATCATGGCAGACCCAGGAGATGAGACCATCTTGCCATCAAGATGGGAGTTCATGGAGATGGGACCAAAGTGTAGGACATTTAGCAGCCCAGGCTCTGTGCTCAGCCGCCACGAGATGCTGATCGAATCCCTGAATTGTTCCTACATCTCAACAGCCTAATTTATAAAATGGACATTATTATAGAACCCATGTCTCACAAGTCTGTTATGAAGATTAAGAGAGACAGTATCTCAAGTGTGTGGTCTGCCGAATCAATGTCTTCTTCCTCTCTGTGGCTTCCTAGATGCCTGTGGGGCCGGGCTTCCACGTGTCACTTCCTGTCTGTAATACAGAGCACTTAATAACAATCAGAGCAGGGGGTTTTCATGGAGTACAAGATTAGCTAAGGGGAACAGGAAGCCAGGGACTGGGGAAGAATTTAAAATGCCATATTTTTTCATTTTCCTAAATTGGGTTTAAGGATGATGCAGTGTCTGTAGCACATCCTGGGGATATGCATTAGGCTTTGAAACATGACCCAGGCAGATGGCTTCTTTAGAACCATGTAGGCCCGAGTGGAGACCAAATAGGGAAGCATGGCATCGAATATCAGGGATTTGGAACGGCCAAAGTCAAGATCACCCTGCTCCAGTCGGCCCTCTCACACTTGCACTTGCTACTTTGCAAAGGCCCACGAGCACATGCCTGCATAGGGACGGGAAGCTCACTCCTTCCCATCAGATCTCCTTCTGTCCCTGGACAGTTCTGCCTATGAGGAAATTCTTCTTTATTTAAGGAACAAGTCCTTTTTGTGTGCCTTTCTTCGGTTGCCCTTGATTTTAATCCTTGCAACCACTTAGGAAAATTCTCAGTCTGGATGACCCTTTAAGATCAGATAAACAAGACTCTTCAATAAAGTCATCTCTTCATCTCCAATTAAATATCAGGATTCTTTCTCTGTGTTTTGTGTTTGATCTCTTTTTGGTTCCTTTATAGGAACTCAGTGCTCAGGGTGACCTTCATCGTTTCTAAATTGAGACCCCCATGAATTGAGTTTTATCTCCATCGATTGGTTCTATCCATTATTGAACACAAAGCAGCTATCACCTCCTTTAATCTGAGTTCTTTACTCCTATTGATGTGGCTTAAATTCTTTTAACATTTTTGACACCTTTGCTCCCCTGACGTGTGCTTCACCTCCTCTTGTTGTAGCCTAAGAATATGTCTGTGATTCCCACAAGCTTGTGTCTGAATGGATTCCAAGTGACGAAGTCCAGTAGCACAGAAGGGACTGTGTGGTCAGATGAACGTGGGTCTAGCATTTCAGTTTTGTCTCGTGACTTGGAACAAGTCACTTAACCCATGCTGGCTTTGATTCCTTATCTGAAAATGGAATAATACTAGTAAAGATCTCCTATGACGGTCATAAGGATTAAAGGGAAAAGCACTGGATTCCGTTCATTGTAAGGCCTCAGTAAATTATTGTCAGAATTAAAGTGAATGTAAATGCTAATGGCTTTCTGTGACTCGGGAGGTACCCCCTTTCCCCATCCCCATCAGGTTTCTGCCTGGTAAGAGAGGAGGCTGTTGTTTGTGGTCTGTTTATGGAGTCACCCTGGGCTGTAATGATTTACTTGCCAATTTGCACACAAGCCAAGCGACAGGATTCCAGGGGAATTCCAGCCCCTTGAGCTGGGTCTTGGGAGTCCGCTCCCTTCCATTCCTCTCCCGGTGTCTCATTTCCATCTACGGAGGAAGGAGAAGTTTGTCCTCCGAATACTCTCTGCGCTCTGGGCTCTACCCATGGAAGATGCCCCATCCATGCTTCCCAAGTGCTCTGCTTCAGAGAGACTTAGAGAGCCGGAGTGATTGGCTTCCAGAACTTGAGGTTAGCACTGGAAGAGTTTTATTTAGAGAAGAATCAGCCCCTTTTTTTATAACCAATGGCTCTGTTGGGCCTTGCCTACCAGCCAGTTCATCTCTTAGGAATCAGACACACCCCAGTGACAGAATGCTAGAGCAAAGGTGCAGGAATCCTTCTCGAAACTTGCCAGACTGTTCAGCCATTATGCTTTGGGACTCATTTATTCCTTTGGTCAGCCACTTCTTTTCCATAAGCAAACATTTGGCCAACGTCTACAGTTTGCCAAATACAATGCGAGGTATTAAGACAGAAGGACGAATTAGTTGAATTTCCTGGCCATAAGAGGTAGGACTCTGGCAGAAAACCCAGACTCACGAGGCAGTGCTGTTCTGGACGTTGGTGGAGGGAGACGAGCAGCGTGGGTGGGAGGGAGGCCCAGGGCTTCAGGGTTGATGTGAGCCCTAAAAAGGGGTCTGAGCGTCTTTCCGTCACTGGCCTGACAGGGGAGGGGGTGCTTGGTATCAGTGGCAGCAAAGCATGAGCCCCGGGGCTGCTGAGAAGTAACCGTGTGATGCCTCCTGAGTTCTCTTCCTTCTCGGAGCCTCAGGGATTTCAAACCAGACAGGGTGATCGTAGGGGACGGATCAGATGATGCGTGCGTGGTGGCTGGCCCGGGGCGGGACCATCATGCAGACCTGCCTGGGTGACAGCAGGGATAGCTTGCCATCACTCACCTGGGCTCACTCGCTTGCCTTCCAGGCTGAGGGACGTGGCGGGGGCACCCCTGATTAGCAGCCGCACGCTCGGCCTGCACTTCCACCCCCGAAGAGGCCTGCACCACCAGGTCCCCGTCATGTTCGACTATTTCCACCTGTCGGTGATCTCGGTGACCATCCACGCGGCCCTGGTGGCTCTGCAGCAGCCCCTGATCAGGTATGAAATTACGCACATGAACGCGGGGGCGTGGGGCGCTGCCCTGGATTTCTCATTATACTCCTTCCACGGCGCAGCTGAGGAGGGCCGGGCTGGCCGGGATTGGTGGGCGCAGACCAGAGGGGCTTCTCCCAGGAGGAGGGTCTAGGCTCTGGGCCTCCCTCGGGGGCAGGGGAGAGGTGGGCGGTGGGCGGCGCGGAGAGGGCATCAGGAGTCCAGGGCGCGTGGGCAGGGAGCCAAGGGGCTGAATCTGCCAACAACGGAGTAGACCTGGCAAGAGTGGATTCGGATCGGACGTGGGCCCTGCACCTGGCTTTGCCTTTTCTAACCGTGCCTTATCTGAGAAGTCACCACGTGTCCCTGAGATGCACAGTCTTCCTCTCTAAACCAGGAGCACTCGTGTCCCGTGCACAGATCTTAGTGGCTCTCAAGCAAGGGTAGTGGCTAAGCACGGGACAGGGACTCTGTTTTCTGCGCCCCTCCCCAGGTTGCCATGTGTTCAAATGCAAGGCCACCCGTATGGCCCTGTGTTCACCCTGTCAGTGAAGCCCTGTGATGCACCGAGGCTTAATGCATCCTCAAGAGGGGGCTACAGAGCTGGCAACGGTGAGCATGTTCCTCGTGCGCCTGGCATGGCCTGCTTTGTGCACCAGGTCACTTCCTAACCTTGCCCGTGCACGTGGGCACGAGGTGGTCATGCATGCAAAGGGACAGTCAGGGATAGAATCTTGCGATGTGGAGTCTCGGGAAGGAACTAACGTTCCAGTGCCCCTTTTAAGGAGAAATTCTCACTGCTGGTGGTTAATATGCATGAGACTCCAGTCCCCACTGATGGTTGGGTAAGAGCTTGGCTCCAATCACCTGCTGGGGTCAGCGACTAGGAAAGGAGCCGGGATCCTGGCCGGCTGACGGGGCCCGCAGATGCTGTTCCTGGAGGCCTTTACCCAGTCCCCGTGCCCCTCAGCCGAACCCCACCCCAGGCTCTGCTTGCTGTGGGGGCTAATTCAGACACTGATCTGAATGGTGGACAGGATGGATATATGTCCAATCAACCATAATCCCCAAACTGAGAAGTGTCATCCAGAGATAAAGACTAAGTGGGCTAAGGAGCATGGTGAGAAGTTTCTGAAAGAAAGGGTGCATTGCATACACTGGGCCTTGAGCAGTGTAGGGTTTTGACATAGGGAGAGCCCTTGGGGAGTTAGCTCAGAGCCCAAGAAATGAGCCAAGGGCACTGAGGGTGGAGGGGGCTGGCATCATGGGCTGTGCGTGTGCCGTGCCTGGCGTCCAGCGCTCCGCTGGCAATGTGGACATTCTCCTGCCCGTCTAGGGTCGAGCTCCTCCAGACTGGGCCCTGAAAAAGGAGACACCCCTGTAAGGAAGACCATGGGAATATTCATTGTTCTTTCTCAATCGCTATATCGAGGGCCTGCTGTGCCCCAGGACCAGTGTTAGGGTATGCACAGTATATCCCACAGGGGCAGCTAAGGAGATGTTGCGATAGACTTCCTTGTCTGCATTTATGGTGTTATTATACGCCAAGTGCTGCTCAGAGTTTCGCAGAAAATATTAACAGCAATCATAGGTATAATCAAAGAAAAGCAGACCTGAATTTGGGAAATTGCAGGAAAAATAGAATCCAGAAAGGGGGGGGCGGGCATGAGGATCCTGCAGAGATATTCCCTGGCTGTGTGCTCGCTCTGAGGCTTGGCAAAAAGTGGCCTTGATGCAGACTTCAGGACACAGTCTGCCGTCAGTGACACGGGGCTGATGGCGGGAGGTGGTGTCCTACGAGTGGCTGGCTATCACCTGCTGGAAGTGAGGTGATAGCCACGCCCTCCCCCCTCCCCCGTCCCCCGCCCTGGGCCCCCCAGCCCTGGGCCCAGGGTAGGAAAGAGGAGTGCCCTGCCGGTGGTTCTGGGGCCTGACACTGAGCTGTTGTGCCTCAGCTGGAGTCAGGCCTGTCCTGTTGTCTGCAGCCACCAGGTAATTCCTGGGGGTCCTCGGAGTGATGTGTAACCGCTCTAGACATCTGTTTCAACATTGAAGTAAGAAGGAAGGAGAAGGAAGGGAGGGAGGGAGGGAGGGAACTTACGAAATGGGCAGTGATAGTAATCCAGCAGAGATGAACAGAGTGCAGTGAGATGAAGTTCATTGTCTATGCTGCACATGGTGACCATGTGCTTGCTTAGTGGTGGGTGGTCTAAGCTTGACCCATTTCTGGAAGGCCAAGCCAGGAAGCTCTGGGATGAGCTGATCAGATCTGGGACCTTAAGAGGCTTAGAGTTTGGCAGGGCAGAAACATACGTAAGTAACTCTAGTTCAGCAAGCGAACCATCCTGGGAGTGGGAATGTGATGGAGGGTGGGGTTGAACTGTTGGCTTTGGGGTCAGAGGGATCTATTCTGAGCTCCCTGCTGAGTGAGCACGTTAGCTCCAGCACATGACTTAAGCTCCCCGAGTTTCTGTTGCAGTTTGTGCGGGAAGGTTATTAGAAGGAGTAAATGAGATAGCACACGTAAACCCTTGGCCATGCATTCCGTTGATTAATATTTATGCAGCGCCCGCCATGTGCACATCTCGGGGTCCGATCTCGGCCTCATGTCTAGCACAGTGAGAAATAAATTTGGAAGGATAAAGGTCTCATTTAGCAGTGTAACGAATGACACATTGAGGAATTGAAAATCCATTGATTGTTTAAGAAGGGGGCATTGAAGGACATGAGCAGAAGAATCACCCAGTAAGACCTGTGTTTTGTAAGATCCCTCCTGCGGCCAGAGTCGGCTGGGCTGGCAGCGATATCAGGGTGGAGACGAGCCAGGGTCCAGCTAGGAGCTAAGTGTCCATGTTGCCCAAGACGGCTGTGAAAAGCCATCTTCCTGCCGCCGGGAGCCCTGATACTCTCTAACGAGGATTTGGGACCTGGAAACTCCTCGTAGAAAACTTAACCTTCTGATGGAAACAGCTCCTTGCAAATCGAATGGAGCGCACAGAGATATTCAGCGTCAGAGCCTGGCTTCTCCAGGGATGGCAGTTAAAATAGAACTGTCTTTTGTTCTCTGGGTTTTATAGGAAGGATTTCTGTTAGTTACCTCACAGTGGCTGGGAACAAAGGCAACCCTTTAAAATGATGGGAAACACCTGTCAAATGGGGCAAGTTCAGGTTTTTCCAGAAAAGTGAGTTTCCCAGCATTCCTCAAGTCCAATCAGGAAGGAGCAGGTGAGAAATTAAAATTTAACCTCAAAAGACCTTCCGCCTTTCCTGAAACACCCTCAAGAAGAGACTCCAGTGTTTCAGCCTTAAATGGGGCAGGTGGATTCCACTGGGGGGATTCAGATCCTCTGGAAGAGTCGTCAAGGCCACAGTTCCGGAAAATAGCTAGTGATTCCAGTTACTAACTTGCGGTCTGCCCCCGAATATGCCGTGAGCATCACTGCTCATGCACATGTTCTGTGTTTTCCTGCAATGTTCCTTTGATCCAGTTGTAGCCAAACTGTACCCTTGCTTTAAATTGCAGTTCTGGCTCAGTCAGTTAAGCGTCCGACTTCGGCTCAGGTCATGACCTCATGGTTCATGAGTTCGAGCCCCGCGTCGGGCTCTGTGCTGACAGCTCGGAGCCTGGAGCCCGTTTCGGATTCTGTGTCTCCCTCTCTCTCTGCCCCTCCCCTGCTCACACTCTGTCTCTGTTTCTCTCTCTCAAAAATAAATAAAGGTCAAAAAATTAAAAAAAATCGCAGTAAACAAATCAGAGTAATGACTATATTCTATTCGATTAGGTGTGTGTTATTAGCAGCGGTGGCTACATAAAGATAATAATGATTGTGTAAGGTTTTGTTGTATTTGTGGTGTCATCATCATCAGCTGGAGCCTTTATCGAATGACTGCTGTTTGTCTGACGCTGCACTTGAAGCCACGTTGAGCCAGTCTCACAGAATCCTCAGAGGCCCCAGTGAAGGTGCTGGTGTCAGCTTGCCCGGCATAAAAGCTGTCCCCTCCCCATGTCATGGAGCTTATGGGCACTGTCACCGGGCTCCCAGTCTGGACAGACCAGCCTGGATGGCGGCCCCTGACCCCTGGGCCGTGCTCTATCGGTGACCCCTCGACTATCCCTCCTCCCCCCTGGTTTGCTTTATAAACTGCTCTCCAGTGCGCCCTGTTCTGAGTTCACCTTCGTGGTATCCCCTCTACCTCCCTCTCTATGCAAAATGTCTTCACAGAGAGGGGACTGGGCCTCCATCGTCTTGCCACCTGCCACCTGACTCACTGCCAGGCCTGTGGCGCTCACCGGATACATGTTTGAATACATGAATTAAACGTATCATATTAACTTTATTTCCCGTCAGGGCGTTAAGCAGGGATGTGGGTCGCTTGGACTGGATCCTTCCAGGGAGATTCCTTGAGCACCTGTGATGCTCTCGCTCTTCTACAGGACAAATGGAGGCTCAGGGAGGGGAAGGGTTGAAGGAGCTCACCCCAGACTGTGCCCCGAAGGGAGCAGACACAGGACTCAGACAGTAGCGGGTGGAGCCCCCGTCCTTCTGTCCCTCTGGTCCTGGGGCCTTGGAGCTGTGCCTCGGTGTCTTTCGGCAGGTGCACGGTTGGCCTTTCCGGGCATGTTCGTGTTCACAGAGCAGGTTGTGTGCTGTCTTCGCTTCCCAGGATCGCGTGCCGGGTGCACCCCTTGTCAGGCCGGCATCCTGAGGGGCAAACTGCTCCTTCTAAGTGGCTTATCTCGCCATGTCCCACTGACAGCCCGGAGGGGCAGAGCCAACAGCACCATCGCTTTCTTCACACTGTTTCTCCCTCTTCAATCCCCCGCCTTTCAGTTTTACCCGTCCGGGAAGAGGGTCCTGGCTTGGTAAAGGCGGCCCAGACGCGGGACCGGAGCAGTCCAGCCTCTCTCTGGAGAACCTGGTCTTCGGAGCTGGGTACTGCAAGCCGACTTCCTCGGAGGTAAGGTCCACACGGGACGTGGCCCCGGGGCCAGATGCAGCTTCGCAGGGGTGCGTGTGGGCCCCTTCCTCTCACCCGTCCGTCCGTTCCTTCCTTTCTGTGAAACATATTCCTCATGCCGGACCCTGGGGTGGACACTGTAGGGTCCTCTTCTGGGCGGTCCCTTGCGAGGGCACGTGGTGAGCGGCTTCCCCCGGACGACATGGTAACCTGGACAGCCCGTCGGCCGTGAGCCCCTGTCAACGCCGCCTCCGTCTCCCACTTGCTCACTTCTCTGAGCCTCAGTTTCCCCCCTTGAAGAGTGGACTCACAAAGATTCAGTAATCTTCTGGGGTTGTGTGTGGAGCCATCGGTGCGATGAGTGTGAAGGTCCTAGTCCAGTGCTGGTATTCAGTAGGCGCTCCATAAATATGCACATCCTGACCGTTCCCTTCTTCCTTCTTCCCAGTCAACTCCCGTCATTACCTCTCTGTGAGGCGCAGGGCTTTGGCCACACTCAGGGTTGCTGTGCCCGGACTTCTCCTGAGCCAACACGTCATTACGTTTGTGAGGGACTTGCTCAGAAATAACCAGCCTGCATTCGAGACGGATAGAGGGAGGGGCAGATGATAGTATTTCCAACTAGCAGTGTCATATTTATGTAGACACAATATATATAAAGAGATCTGTTGAAAAGAATTGGCTCACGTGATGATGGAGGCTGAGGCATCCCCATGACCCATCCCTGCAAGCCGAGGACCCAGGAGAGAGCCAGTGGGGGGCTCCGGTCTGAGCTCAAGTGGGCAGGCAGGAGAACGCGGGTGTCCCAGTTGGAAGGCAGGCAGGGAAAGGACATTCTCTCACTGTCCCCTTTTGTTCTGCATTTTCTTAGCCGGTCAGCTGATGCCGCCCACCTCGGGAGGGCGATCGGCATGAACTCGGTCCGCTGACTCAAGTCAGTCTCCTCCAGAAACCCTCACGGAGACAGCCAGGATAAAGTTTTACATGGTGTCTGGGCACCCGGTAGCCCGTCGGGTTGCCCCAGTGAGCTGTCACACAGTCCACAGTAGAAGCGTGGAAGTCTGCCTACCCAGACACGAAAGAGGCACCCCCTTGTCCCGTGCAGCCCTGCCCCCTCCTCACATATCCGGCTCTGCTGGCTCTCCTGTGACATCACGTCTCCCTGCCTGTGGCCCAGCCAGGAGGCTTGGCCGCAAAGGTGGCTGAGCCATGCGTTTCTCCATCTGGTCCCAGCCGCGGTGTCTCGTGTTCTCACGATGCAAGGAGCTGAGGAGAGAGCTCCTGAGACCCTCCTGAGGTGCAGGGGACCCGGACCCGGGGCAGGGTTCTGTGCCCAGGAACGAGCAGCCTTTAAAGCCAGATAGAACTTCCTCGGAGGTGGGCTCCAAACACTTGTAGATGCCACCGAGCCTCGAGGCACCGGTGTCCTCAGTGTTGACACTGGACCCAGCAGATAGTAGCAAGGGGGGTGGGAGTTCGGGACTTCCTGCTCCCGCTGCGTATCCCCAAGGCCAGGCACTGACCCTCCGTCGTTAGTGGGTGCTGGGTGCGTCCCGTGGATCAGCCCCAGCCCCCTGCTGTAGGCCCAGCCCCTCTCCAGACTCCTGAGGGGTAGACCGAGGCCTTCGTTGTGACCACGTCACAGGGCCAGGGCCGCTTCCCCCTCAGCCAACTTCTCACTCGCCCGCATGTGCCTCCCCAGAGGATCTACCTGAAAATCTCCAGCTCAGACCATTTCCCAGGTAATGTGGCGTAGGACGTTAGGGAATGTCAGAGATCGGTTCAAAACATTTTTGACACATGTTCCAAGACAAGGGCCTTTTCTAGGTCCACGGGAACACGTGGGGATGATTATGCTACAGCATCTCCCAGAGGGAACTCTTATGCACATCCTCTGATGCCTTGTTCAGATGCCACCACCTCTGAGAAGCACTCTCTGATTTCCTAGGAGGAAGTTCCCTCTCCCAAATGTTCCCTCCGTGGTTGGCTCTAGGCATCTCTGTCTCTCCTCCGCCTGATTCCGAGCGGCTGCGGATAGAGGCCAACTCACTCAGCAGCACATCCCTGGGCCCAGCACCGTGTGGGGCTGCCCCTGGAGACTGTTCAGAACCCTGGACCTGGGACGGGCTGGGGCGGGGGACACGGACTCTGCCGCATCCGAGAAGCCGAGCATGACCCAGCCAGATCTCTGCCTTTGACACGGTGTGACATGGGGGAGAGAAGATTATGGTGTCAGGCACCTGCCACGCTCCCCAATGCCATGTGACTTGAGGGCGTTCATTCACCCTTGCAAACTCAGGTTCTCAACTTGAGAAAGGGATAATACCTGCTTTTAGAGAGGATTTCAGGAGTTAATATGTATAAAGACTACAAAAATAGACTCATAGCAGGAACATGATACAGTATAGTTTTTTCTTCCCCTTTCCGTTTCTTTTCTTGGCTATTTTTGGGGATGTGTGTCAAAGAAGACATCCCTGTCTTGTACAAGAGTCAGATAAAATAGCTTATTTGTGGGTACTCAGCAGTGAACTTGCTCATGGAGCTTAGCTCAATGGGTTATTTTCGGGACCTGATTCTTTCCCTGTGTATTTTCCATTTGGGTCCCATCCAATTATGCGGGCTCAGTGCTGCGCACCCACCCTGTGCCTTCCCACCAGGCAAGGGCTGCTGAGCAGAGAACAAAATCCACTCCCCCTGCCTCCCCTAGGAACGGTGCATCCAAATCCCCAGGAAGCCCAGTGCATTAGCAAATAACATGGGGATCCACGCAGATTGCAGCATCAGCTGAAAGGATTAGAGACCAGGTGTTGCCTTCAAAATAAGCCTTTCTGTGCAGAGACGTTTGCAGAAGCTAGAGCGTCATAGCAGAATGAGTTGACCGCATGAAACATCATGGGTCCCTTTCCCAACAGCCGGGCCCCTCCCTCCCTCCCTCCCAGTGTGCATCCCGGCTCTTTCCTCTTTCCCAGCTCCAGGCGGCTGGGGCTTCAGATTAGAGTTGGAGCTCCCATCCCCTCCCCATCGAGAGCCGGCAAGCTCTGCCCGAGGGGAATTATTTTGCCTCTCTGATTTGCGGCTTATCTGTCAAAAAGGGACACTAATGCCTGCCTTGCAGGGTTGCTGAGAAGATTAAATGAAATAAGCATGTAAGAGCCTGGAGCGTAAAGCCCAGCACAAAATGCTCAGTAAAACCCTCTGTTGGATTATTTTGCTTTTAGTTTATCCACATAATTAAATCGAACGTTCCTCCAAGAGCCCCAGTGTGGTCTTGTGGGTAGGACATTGAACGAAGGGTCTTAGGTGTGGTTTTGTTCTTGGCTTTGGCACTAACCTGCTGTGTGACCTTGAGTCAGATCATTGCCCTCTCTGGGTCTCAGTTTCCTCATGTGTAAAAGAGGATTGGACAAGATGATGCTGGAGGCCCCCTTTAGTCCTTTCTCTGCTATCTTCCCTGTGATATCCCTGTCACTGCCTGGTGCAGTTGGGGACGTTTGACACATACTTGACTTATTAGTCCAGATTCTCCAGAGAAACGGAACCAGTAGGATGTGTGTATGTGTACACACACGCACACACACACACACACACACACACACACACACACACACGCATGCACAGATCGATGCTAAGGGAGTGTTTCATGCTTTTCTGGAGGCTGTCAAATCTGAAATCTGCAGGTTAGTTCAGCAGTCTGGAGACACGATAGGAGTTGCAGTTTGAGCCCAAAGGCAGTCTGCTGACCAAATGACCAAATCCTTTCTTCTTGGTGGCAGGGGGTGGTCAGTCTTTCTTTTAAGACCGTCAACTGATGAGGTGAGGCCCACCCACGCCATGGAGGAAAATCTGCTTTGCTCGGAGTCTAATGACTTAAATGCTCACCTCATCTAAAACATACCTTCACAGAAACACCTAGGATAATGCTTGGCTGAGGAGCTGGGTACTGTGGCCTGGCAAGATTGGCACGTAAGATCTGCGGTCACACTTAATAAAGTGCTCAGGATCAGGAATCCAATTCTCGAAACCAGAATAATCCCTTTCTCCCGCCAGGGATGCCGCGCACTCCCAGCGTCGCTGAGATCAGTGGTGGTGTTCCACTGCCTGGGGAGAGGATGGCAGCCTGGTGGATGAGCACAGGCCGTAGGGTGTCCTGGTCCTCAGAGCTCAGCCTCCGTGGGCAGGAGCATCGGTACATCATGTGCTCATCCATCAGTCACATGCTTAGTCCCGACTAGGTGTCAGCCTCCCCATGTGCCGCAGGGGCCCAAATGGATGCACCTTGGCCTCTCCCTCGGTGGGTCGTGGGATCTAGTGCATGAGGCAAAGCAGTAATCGAAGCTTTAAAAATTCCGCAATAGCGTGTAAAGTATGATGCCGATCATTTCGCATTGAGTTTTTGAACACCTGTTCCGTGAAGCCGTGGACGCCCAAGGGCTCCGTCAGTTTCACCAGCCACCGTGTGGGATTTCCTTTTGCAGGTGAAGAGGTCGGGACACAGGTTTAGTTCTGTGTCTACAGTCATAGGACTGGGCAGCCTCTTGCCACGGCCCTGCCCGGTCAGTCTGCTGCTTCTTAGGGCTGGGTGTGGTCTTTCTGTGTCCACGGCGTGTGCCTGATACAGCGCGTGTGCTCAGGAGACCTTTGTTGAACGAGCACCTGTCGGAAACCGTGGAATCCGAGAACATCTGAATGCGAGAGGACAAAAGCCCTTGTGAGTAGACGTTAGGCATTTAACTTTCCAACAGATGCGTTCCACCCGATGCTTTGAGCCTCCCTGGCCCCTGGGTCACCTGTGGAAATCACCGAAGCCGTGCTGGGGAGGGGGGGAGCTCGTGCTGTGCCGGAGCAGATGAACACATCTGAGACGAATGTGTTGGCCACCAAAGTGAAATCCCTCCATGCTCATGTGACGTAGAACATACTTTCCAGACCCAGGAGTGTGTCATTGAGAGAATATTCCAGACTGTGGCTCTGGGGCCACTTTCCTACTAAGTCAGGTGGCA